AGTATTGGACCGGGCACTGTCCCGAATGGTCCCGAATGATACCGCACTTGTGTCCCTTTGAACTTCAGTCGTATAATAAATCTCTTATTAACCAAGCTTGCTCGGGACCGTACTGGAAGAATATCGGCCCTCGGTCTTTTTTGTACGGACCTCACTGCGCTCGGTCCGTACTGTCAAGACCTCGGGCCGATATTCTCCCAGTACGGCCCTCGCGCTTGGTTAATAAGATATATATATATTAGGAAAGATAAACTCACACGCAAGGAAAAAACATCAGTCTTTTATTGAGAACACAAACTAAAGTTTGCCAGTTTCACCGAGAGTAACTCGGTTTTTGGGTCAATATTCCGTCGTTACGTATATCCTTCCGAACGCCCGTACGTCTGTACGCACATCCTTTCCATATGTCCCCCTCTTTCTCCCTGCCGTTTGTCTATCACTGATCGATTAAAATAAAATACTTACTTGCATTGCTTTCTCCAATGTATCACTCTCCTCAAGAAGGTTGCCGATTAGCTCTTGAGTCACGGGGAAGTTAGGGGGAAGTTCTGTACATCGTTTAATTGTATCAGGGTTGCAGCCATTCAGAAACTGCGCTCCATAGAAGCTGTCTTTTTGCCAATGGACGGCGGCTGGTGGAACGTCCCCAACGAAAGCGACGAACGCCTAAGTAAAAGTCGACCTCCTTTTTATCAATTGAATTTCTAATATAACACGTTTTAAATCAGTTATAGTCTAAAACACGAGGTGAATTGTATTCTCGGTTCTCGTAAAAGATCACGGATTATTTGGCATTAGTATTAGGCAAGCTAGATTAGAGAGTAATCATTCAAAAATACGGACTACAAGATTAAAGGAATCTCGCGCGGTATGTCTCTTTAATCTATTTGACGATGAATCCGATTTTGAATTGTGCCATGCCAAAACATACCTTACGGTAATCATCAAAGTCTTCCCAGGAATCGAAGATATTCCATAATTTTATCAAGCCAAGGTTTGCTAGAGCTTTCTGCCTGGCTTTGTGAAGATCATCGGCTGCTTCAGTAGTAAATTGGACATCTTTAGGTAGTTTTTTCCAATGTTCTGACTTGACACATCCAGGTAAACTGTGATATGCAGGATCGTCTCCCCATTGGAACAGTTCTTGTCTCTGTTGAATTTCAATCCGTCTTTGGTTTTGTATTGCTTCATGCTGCTTTTCTGTGACAAGTAACGCTAAAATAGGTGTAATAACACCCAAAACAACAAAAAAAACAAAATTTAGTTATTTTCAGCAATTAGAATACATATCTAACAATCCATACTCTCAAAATAGCGAAAAAAACAATAACAACAACCATAAGATATAGTGATATATATTTGTTTTTCACTTGAGCTAGGGAAACTTTATTCAATCGTGCGAAGCGCGCTTAACCAGGTATACCATCGGACTAAAAAAGTGTGTTAGTGTTGTCATAAACGATGATTGCATCGCGATACTGAGGTAAGAGTCGGGTAAGTGTAGTTGTGATATCATGTCCTATGTCGAAGATGCTTTTTCGTTCATCCGTCAATGACACGCTTAGGGGTCCTAAGTACATGTACACGTAGAGATCTTATTAGATCGAGTGAAAAATATTTGCATTTGGAGTTCCAGAAAACTCTATTCTCGAATATAGTCATTTGGTTGTATCAACTAAGTATGTGGGTTTATATGCAGAAAGCGGAGCTACGCCATTGGTGGGAATATGGCGACGAAAAAAACACGAATTTTTCGCGACTTTAATTTTCTTGGCCAAGAAAAACTTCTTTTCACCATGGACATTACATCTCTTTACTTTTCCATTCCTAATGGCGAAGGTCTTCTGGCCCTCAAACATTTTTTTGATCAACGTACTGTTAAGGAACCTAAATCTGAAACCCTACTTCGCTTAGCTGAACTAGTGCTCACATTTAATTGTTTTTCATTCGGGGACAACTTTTTCAAGCCAATGGCGTAGCCATGGGTACCAAAATGGGACCCAGCTATGCCAATCTTTTTGTGGGTTTTTTTGAACA